TATATATATATATATATATAGGCAGCTAATTATAAGCAGCTATATATATAATTATGCGCAGCTCTACAGAGGGAAACATGCACAGTTTGAGCTTTGCACAGCATGGGCCTGTGAAGATACGTGATATCGGGAATACCATGCAGACTCTACACCCCAGTATGAATGTGTATGTGTCGAGCACCAGTGCTGCTGCTGCTGCTTGCTGTTCATTGGGGCCTCCAAATGCCACCTGTCGTTTTCCCGCCAAAAGAGAATATCGCCAAAGAAAGTCAGCGTGAGGCAGACGCACAGGAAAACCGGATTTGCGAATTTTTACAGCTTCCATTACCCCTTGAAACAGACCGTACCACAAGAAATGGCGAAAACCGATGACGCCGAAAAACACGAGTTAGCAAAGAAGACGACAAACATTCCATGCATAAGCAACCACACATTTCACTCTATACATATGTAGCATATTCTTCGTGTTACCTGAAAGTTTCATTTGATTTAGTATTTCCCGTGAACAGACAGCCAACGGTTTGTGCTGCTGATTAGGTTTTATACACCGCACGTAATGGGCATTTGTTGCCTTTATGCGAGACAACAGATCCTGCAGATCTCTCTTAAACTCCGACGCTGCAAACACCGTCACTGGTCTTCAGAACAAGTCCACTAGACAAACTTAGTAATACCAATACGGAGGCCCACAGGAAGAGAAGAACCTCTAGCGACATGAGCAGCAGCGGCAGAAGCAATAGCAGCAGAAGTAGCAACAAAACTAACCAAAGAAGCAGAACCAGCAGAATCAGGAAAAACAACCGGAAACTCCCCCATAAAGCAGCAGCATAGCCGAGAACAGTAGTAGCAATGGTAGCAGCAGTAGAGGCGGCACAACCCTCACCAACAGTTGTCTTGCTTTTCATTTTGTTTGCACTAATTGAGTCTGCGTTGGGGCCTACATACGGCACAGCCTCTTTAAGCGTTTGATTTGAGGACGAGAGCAGCAAGGCGACCGCCTCTGCAGGAAGAGATTTTTGGTTTTTGGCTAGCCATCCCACAGCATTGTAAGTGACATTTCCCGCGTAATGGCACACTGTGAAGGTCAACGGATCCCCAATTCTGCACACACCCCAACTCAAACCCTAAACTTACGGGGTAAACTTACGTAAACGTATGGGGTTGGTAGGTGAGCTGGTGGGCTTGAGTGAAAGCGTTGTGGTTACCCTTCATGAGCACGAGGCAATGAATTCGACGTACTTGTTGAACAGCAGCTGTTTTTCAGCCGGTTTGTTCTTCTTCAACTTGTTAACAAAGCCGAGTTCAGACCCCTTTGGTACAAACAGCTCCTCGTCTAGAGTGGCAAAAATGCCTGCAAGCAAATCAAACGAAAAGAGGCAGTATGGACGACATGCTATTGCTTGTTCGTGCATTTCCTGCCCTAGAGAAACTACTCTTTGACTAGTCACTCAGCCGCAAACATAAACGTGTTTTTATGTCCGCGCATGAGTGACTAATGAAATGCGACAGTTTCTCGATCTGCATTAATACCGCATTAAAGTCTTCATAAGAAAACGGCAAGGACGACAGTATGCAAAACAGTTAGTAGGGATTACACGATTTACGACTCCACTGGAACTGCTGCTGCTGCTGCTTTTGAAACACTCGTTGTGTCAGCAACTGTTATTCTCTGCACACCCTAAGCATTAATTGCTAAAGGTAGTATTAGAAAACTTGATCCTCGCTTGCCCCTTTAGACAGGCCAGTTTGAACACGATACAAATGAAATTTGGATAATGCAATAAGCAGCAGCCTATCTCACTATGCATCCCTTTCTGCTGTCTCAAGCAAGTTTACATCCTACTAAAACACACTGTTTGCAACTGAACCGGCATTCGGGTTTGGCGGATAGTCGTATTAGTGCCACTACTAGCACCACCATGATTGCTTGCATTAGTACTGACAGTGAGAGTGGTATCAGCACTCGTATAAACGTTGGTACTAGTACTAGGTCTAGGTTGCATCACCTATAATATTTGTATTTGTACACGGGTAATAGTACTGCCGTCAGCATTATTACAATTGCCACTATTACAAACACAACGTATTAGGACTCATACTAAAATTAAATCTGTACTAATATGTGTGCTGGCATTACCTTGGCTACAGTATTAGCGTTGGGCCCTGCTCTATGCTGATATTGTTACTTCGTGCTAATGTTAGTGTATGCTAGTAATAGTGTTCAGACCGGTGTTCGCCTCACTGCTTTTGTCACACCAGCATTATCTTGATATAAGTGCTATGTTTTGTATTAAATTTTACTACTAGAATCTCGGTGGCACCAGCTAGTCCTGGTATCAGTGTTATACTACAACTGCCGCTGCGAACGCATTGCTACGCCTGGCTTACGTAAATCAGTTAACAACGGCGAGAAGTGCTGTGCTTGATTTCTGCACTGCATTTAGTGATGCTGTGTGCTTTATGTCGACGACACACATCGCAAAAGTGTGGGAGACGGCAGCGCCTTGCGTAATGCTAAGGAGAAAAATTAGGAGCAGCAGGCCAGCGATACTCTTTGTTGTCTCCCCCTGCATTCTGCCAAACTGTTATTAGCACTACCTACTGCTAGTGCTACTATGTGTTACTACCACAGTCTTATTTTTATTTCCACTATTGTTGTTATCGTTACAGCCACTTCACTGCCCCAGTTCATACCAATATTTCGCCTCTCCTTTTAGGGTGCTGCAGGGTTGCCTCAATTATTACTATAATTATTATTATTTGGTGGCAATCTTATGTCACCAATATTGATTCCAACAGGTACTACAAACTATTTAGGCTATCAAAAATGCCTAGTGACTCTTATTCAGTTAACCACAGCATTCGGCGCACCTCCTTTTCCCTCTATGGCGTCCAGCACTTGAGCATTATCTTGGAAGGACACGTTTAGGCCCTGCAGCCCCTCCGCTTCATAATCTTCTAGCTCCTTTAGGAAAATATCTTGGTTAAAGTGGTTCTGTAGCTTCTCGTTGCTCAAGTTGATGCACAACTGTTCAAAGCCGTTGCGCACAAAACTCTCAAAACCCGCTATATCCAGAATCCCCACCATCCTCGTCTCCAGCTGCGAAAAACAGACTCAAGCATGGCAATCAAGATGAACCTATAAAACTGCCGACGATTACTGGCCCTATCCACACACCACGACGCAGTCAAGGGTTTAGGATTGACGCTCTGGTGCTTAGGCATTAGGCCAAAACGAGGTTCAGAGTGTGTAGCTTCAAATGATACGAGTTATAAAACCCCGCTTGCAGTTGTTAAGCGATGCATATGCTCGTAGGCCAGCATGCTTGTACACCCCTTTGATTTGGCACTTAAGTGTTAATGAGCAGGATAGTTTTGTAGTTTCGCATGGGCATGCCTCACTGCACAAGGCTGAGGAGGAGGCTGGAGGCTTTCGTTGACGCGTGCTATCAACCAGGAAAAGAGGCAGCTGTAAACCAGTTGAGCAAAGCCATCACGAGCAGCTGCTGCCTTCTCAGGAGCCAACACCGCCTTTATGACTTCGCTTCCCGTCTTGAGAGGACGAGTCACAAACAATTCCAACAAGCCCTGAAAATGGGTAGCACAATAGCAGAAAATAGTACGGTGGCCCAGCATCCTGCAAATACTTTAGGGTTGTCGTGTCTAGGGCGTTCGCTTTATAGTTATGGGCTTACATCCTGGGGTAACCCTAGAAGGGAAGCCGAGGTGTTGAGGTGATGAGCGGTGGATATGTCTACGGAGCTGCCTTCTCCACCTCCAGCCTGTAGCAGAGACTCTGCCTATAATTCTCCAATTATTCAATGTAACAATTGATTGACAGTGATTTTCAAACGGAGCGGCAAGTATCGGGGCAAGATGCCTTTGAATTACAAGCAAGAACAAGAACCTAAACGTCCAGCTTCTCCGATCCTATGTGCATGTATTTACTATTGCACAGGTGTGCATAACACTCCAAAGAAATACATACGCCTATGTGTATGTTGATCGCACAATCAACTCACGCTGTCGGGAACAAAGCAGATGCATCCAAGATGCAGCAAAGCTGCAACGATCGAAAACAAGTCATTTTGCTGCTTAGCCCGAAAGCCTAAAGTTAAAAGGGCATGTTTTAGTTCTTCCAAACCTTCGGCATCGTTGACTGCATACAGTCAACAAAAGGCACAAGCAAATAAGCACGCCAAACACCAGCAGAAAAAAAGTATCTTGTGTGTCGATAAAAGAACAAGACCGAAGCAGGGGAACAAAAAAAGCAACAGCAACATATATGAGAGGCGGAGCCAGCTAGAGTAACATGCAGACATCACCGAATGTGTGCATACAGATTGCCGATATTCAGAAACCTTTACAATCCGAGGCACCTTTGCAAGACTCCTATCACTACTCCAGTGTTTATCAGCAAAGGCTGACTTCTACTTCTGGGATCAAAAGGTTGCAGGTAGCTGAAGGAGGCAGGTTCAGTGCTCAACTGATAATCTGTTTGCAGGCCCTTCAAACTGTCCTTCAGACCCTCCAGCAATTGGTAAAAGACGTGAAAATTTCTTTCGCCTGTTGCATGGCCTACGACTCTGGGGACCTCAAGCAGGTATGATGTGATGCGAGCACCTGCAGAAGATGAATTCTGTAAAAAGAAGCTCTAAATGCAATTGCAACCCAAATTCATTCGAAGACGCACACAGATCCAACAGAGGCGTCAATAAGAAATAGGTAGTGCGGCACTACAGCGAATGGGTTCGATACCGACAGGGTATTCGACTCGAAAGCGCTAGCATGCTAGGCACAATTAAATCATATTATTGCAAATTTTCACCATATGGGGACATGCCATGGTTAACTGTACAAACTGACCCATTACAACGCATTTATCGCTGAATATCACCTCCACCCACTTGCCGAACCGACTGCTGTTTGGGTTGCGGGTTGTGCTGGCGTTTGCAAACGCCTCCAAAACAGGATTCGCTTCAAGTAGCTTCCGTTCGATTGAATTATCTTCGTCTGAACCATCGGCTCCCGAAACAGCGTCCTGCCTCCCACCTAGACGGACTTTACGCCCCCCTGCAACTGCCAGAAACTGCAGTAATAATTTCGTAGTTTCCGTTTTCCCTGCTCCTGAAGCAAAGCGAACAAAGATCACAACACACAAATAACCATGGGAACAAACCGTAGACAAAGTCGCACTGGAACTACTTTCTTCTAACCAACACGCCAAAGAACAGACAAACAGGCCATCGTCAAAGCGAATCTAAGCATCACGTCGAATAAACGTCAACAGTAACGAACCTTTTGTCAACGTGCAGTGCTTGGGACTCTTCCTCACTGGAATGTTTCAGCCATTAGTTCCCTTTAACCCGAAAACTTGAAAATGCACGGGTACTTAGTCTTCTCGGTAGCCACAACCCAACTCCTAATCCCTCAACCCTAAAATTCTAACAGCTACAGCTACCCACCAGATTCGCCAGTGATGAGCGCCGATTGTGGAGTGCCTTCTTCGCTAACGCTCTTAAAGGCATCTGCAGCGATTTGATAAACGTGAGGCTGCAAGGAGTACGGGTCATCGGAGAGGAGATATTTCGCGACGATTTCCTCTCCATACACCGGAAGAAACTGGAAAGGGTTCAGAGACAAAAGAATCCTTCCCACATTGGTGTATATCAAACCGTCTCTGTATCGCTGCCGCACTGTCTGCAGCACCGAAGCTTCCGTCACTTCAGACAGACCACAAATATTGTCAACGCCTGAACACCCAAGAAAAAAAGGGAAGGGAGACACCAGGAAATTGAAACACACTGAGAGGACCCGGATATTTGCATCCACGCCGAAGAAAACCACGACAATTTGCAAATCGCGAACCATCTCGTTCGTGTTAAGAAATGAGACACACAAGCAAATGCAGAACTTCAGGGCGAACTGCTCAACAGCAAGCAAACAAACAACCAAACAAACAAGCATCTGACGAGTTGCTCCTCTGGGGAAGCCGTAGACGTGTGTCAAGAGCAGTCATCCCAATGCAGAAACCGGGCATGTGCACATTCAAAGCAAGGACGGCTTTTTGACCTTGAAGTCCTGAAAGATCTAATATGGGTTTAATCAATTGTCTTTCCGTTGCGTTTGGAGAAAATGTTAGATCATCTTCTTCGGTTGCGGAATCAAAGGCCTTCAACAGTCTGTAGCTTTCGCCACCCTCCACCTCCACGGCCACTCCCCACACTTCTGTTGGATGAGGCACCCAGAACTGCTGAGCCATTGCAGCAACATCAGCAACAACAGCGGGAACAGCAACAACAACAGCAGCAGCAACAGCAGCAGCAACGACAGCAGCAACAGCTGCTGCTGCTGCTGTTGCACCTTCTCCGCCTCGATTTCACTAACGGAGTGGAGTTATCTTTTTGCTTTGGCTAAGCTGCCTGAATCATAAATTGAGAAAACGCCTAGGAGGCTCATATAAAAGCAAAGAGTAAACAAAGATAACGAAACCCTAAAGATTCAAACGATGAAAACTTTCTATATGTCCAATCTTTCCACGCCCTCGGGTGCAACTCGCGGCCGCAGACTGTATCGGTGTTTGAGAAGAAACTCTCAGCCTCTTCAAGAAGGGATGGCCCCTGAAAAACTCTTAAAGACCCTTGTATGAGAAACGCAGACCCCCTGTCCCCCGAGATATTCCCGAGGCAATTAGCTATTCGCTGCATAGGTACTGCCACCCTGTTGCCGCGCCGGTGTGTCTTTTAGTTACTCTCAGGTATATCCATTCACGTACAGCTACTCTTCTCTAAATGCAGCAGGATGAGGCCTGCGGCACTTACAAACAAGCCGGTTTAGTGTTTCGAAGGGAGTTTTGGAGTTCGCGGAGACACAAGGGTCTAACTGCCCTGTTGAACACGAAAGCATGTCAAAGGAAACACCTGAACAACCATTTAGTAACTTATTTTAATTAAATTGGAGAAATAAACGAAGATGACTTGGAAGGGCAGTCAGCTCTGCCTTTCAGTGGACCTCTTTGGGGCTGCCTGCAGATCGGCATGCGTGCTCGCCTCGAATTCCAAGAGCACACAATTATTTGGGAAATTGAGCTAAAACTATAATTATGCACACCATGCAAATCCATAAAATAGGTGAACTTGAAGCCTATACCCCGCAAGATAAACTGACGCGAGAAGACGTCACGGTCACCTGACTACCAGTGGTGAGGGGTGGACTTCCAGCCCTTTCAAAAGCGAATACCTTCACGAAAAATATAAAGAAATACGACAAAAGAGTTAACATATGTTCAGTTTCCTTTGAACTTTGCTTCCACGTTAGGAAAAGTAAAAATGCTGCAGATTCGTATCTGGGAAGTGCCCATACGTTCGGCCTTTTGCATTGTTCCATACTCCTCTAGAGTTGTGCATATGCGTCGTATGGCACTTAAACTTTGTGGTTATGTTCTGTATTTTCGCTTTTGCCTACATTCTCGGGGTAGTGCCGAACATCCCAGTTTTCGTGACGGCATTCTCCCGACTAAGAAAAACAGATAGACTTCCCAGAGCAACTGACCCAATAAATAGCCAGCGCTTTTCAAAAGATAATAGGGTTCCTCTCAGCCTCGGCACCATAGTTCCTCTCCCAGAAGGCGCTGCAGCAACCGTTCGCAGTATGCGCCCACGACGGCTTGCTAGCTGCGCGCAACCGAGCAACAAATGGCTAGCTATCGGCAGGTGGGTAAATGGTGAGATACAGGTGTGCTTTTTCGGCGAAAAGACCGAGAAGAGGGGCGCTGGTGGCTGCAATCCGCTGGACATCCCCTCAATCACCGCCACCGTCGTTTCTTCTCCAAAAGACTCTAGTTATTAGTCAGCCAAACGCAAATGCCTGCTGTCTCTGTGCTTCATGCAGACACAAAAGTGCAGTGTGAATGTAATCCATTTGGAAGGAAGGCATCGAACAGCGTAACGTGACTCCTGTTGTTGAGGATTCTGACGGTTCTTCAATTTCTTCCGGCAGCAGCATATTCCGATTAAGGAGAAGACGGATCGCCACTCCTTCCTTTAGCTGCAGCTGTGCACTTCTGCCTAATGATTTGGCAGGGCGCCTCCTTCCATGCCCTCTCCAGCTGAACAAGAAAAAGGGCCAAGGCTGACGGTTGATCGATTCACCTCAGGAGTCCCACTTGGAGTCGCGCCCTTTCTGCTACTGCCCTTGCTGAGGCTGCTGCTGTTGCTGTTGCTGCCGCTGCTGCCCATGCTGCCGCTGCTGCTGATGTTGCCGCTGCTGCCGCTGCTGCTCTCGTTCCTTCTACCACCACTACACTAGCAGCACTGCCTATATTTGGGAAAGCGGCTTCAGAAAAGCCCGTACAGCAAATACTTCCTTCTTAGGGGACAGCAGCAGCAGCAGAAGCAGCAGCAGGAGTCCTCAGTGTCCACCCGCCTTGGAGGCGAGCGATGTATTCACAAGCGTGCTCGGGCCGCACGTGAGGGAAAGCAGCGAATCTGCAAGACAGACACCTAGACAAAAACTTTACAATCAGAACACAATGTGAAGACGCTCCAACTGGGCAGACTAACAGTACGCAGCTAAACAACACACACCGCACGCAGAAAGAACAAATGTGGTTACAGAAGATCAAAGCGAGTATCCGCGAGCATCCCGGGTGGACGTGGTCGTGGTTCAGGTGCTTGTGCAATCCGTAAGGGCAGGCATACACACACCGGATACACCTGGTATGCATAGCACTACTCAGCATTCGCTCAGGTATTTGCAGACTTGGTTCAGAAATGCACATCTAGGTTTCCATCTGGTTCAGGTATGCATACACTGGATTGAGGTGTGCATACGCCTGCAGCGTACCGCCTCCCGATTTGGTTAGCAAGTATAGCAGCGTCCTTGACTCGGGCTCCCGTGCCCCATTCACTGTAGCCCACATGCAACACACATAGACACATATAGACACACCTAGACGCTCATAGACATACAGACACAGACACAGACACTGACACTGACACTGACACACACACACACACACACACACACACACACACACACACAAACATACACAGACACACACATACACACACACACACATTCATACATACATACATACATACACACAAACCCCATTCTTTGTAGTAGTTGTTCCTGAATAAACAACAACGAAAAAGAATACGAGGAAACAAGGGACAACGCAGGGAAACAGAGGAGAGGAAAGCAAAGGGGCCAACGCACCTCAAACAACCCGCTGGCCCCACCACTTGCAGCCACGGCATTGTCTGCACCCTCTGCCGATGAAAGTCCTCTCGAGATTCAACAAACAAGTCTCCACCCAAAGCATATCCAGAATCCTCCACCTGCTGCTCTGAGTAAACACCTGCCAGGCCTTCCTGGGCAACCTGATGGCCCCCCTCACGGGCCCTCGGGGCGACCCTCAGACGGGCACCCTGGGTGGGTGCCTGTTGGTAGGTGTCTGCTTGGACAAGTTGAAGCGGCACATGACTGGAAACAGCATGCAGTGCTGCGGTGCCTCTCCAGTGGTTGCTGCGCAGTTGGTCGAATTGCCGCAGCAGCTGCAGCAGCTGGTGGCGCTGCTGCGCACCAGCAGTGTTGGCCCTTCCACCCGTGCCCTTTTCTAGAACTAGAGGCCATTGCGGCTCAGCCTGCAGAGACAGCCGAGAGCACATTACCAGCCTGTCTGAAGATTCTGTTATTCCTTCACGCTGCAGCGCCTTGTCTACTGCCTCTTCTGCTGCGCCCAGCAACAGACCCAACGCGCGCAGGCTCGCCGCTGTTGATGCCGCCTCCTGCTGCTGCATCGCACTCATCCGGTGCTTCTGTTCCTCTCGCTTTACGGGTGGTTCTAAGCCGGGCTGCAGCAGGAGCTGCAGGGGCATGAGCAACTGCTGCATTTGGTGGAGGAGAGTCTCGACATGTTTCACGCTGACTGCTGCTTGCGCATGCAGCAACAGAGGCTTGTTGATACACTTGAAACTGCTTATATCGGAGCGACCTGCAGCTGCCAAGGCCTTCGCTTGTACGTGGGGGAAGACGTTTCCTGGAAACTGCAGCTCCGTCACTGCTACTGCCTCCTGCGCTGCCTTTAGGGCCGCTTCGAGCCCAGCCAACGCTTCGGCAGCCCTACAACTACCTGTGGAGGCAGCAGCAGCAGCTGCTGCTACGGGGGATGATGCTGCTGGTTCTGCTCTTATCCCCTTCGAGGGTCCGTAGAAGCAACCTCTGCCCAACGCAGCAGCCCGGTCTGAAGGTTTTGAGCCGAATGCATGCACCGTAATATAAGAGGCAGAAGGAAGGGATGCGAAGAAATTGCAGAGTTTGCGTGCGCTTGAAGGAGTCCTGCTGGATACTACTCGTTGCTGATGTGCCTGGGAAGCACGTTCTGGGTGTTTTCCCCTGCACTGCTCTCCTCCTGCTGAAGAGGCCTTCAAAAGAAGGCTCAAATCAAAAGGGTGCAGCGCACAAATCACCAAATCCGCAAGGAACCGGCGCCCCTCAGCGCAAATGACTGCAGCTGCGCCATCCGAAGCATCTAACGCATTGCCTCTGCTGCTGCAAGAGTCTGAATGCAGCGGCTCCAGCCGTTGCACCCGGCAGCCCAACTCCACAGACACGGGAGGCCTGCCTTCAGGAGGAGCGCAGATATGTCTGGCCAGGGCTGCCACCACCTAAACACGCACATAGGACGAAACATTTTTCCATCACAAGGTGAAAATGCCGTAGCGTCCACCGCCGTGGCCATACGCTGCTGCTACAGCTGCAGCTGCTACTGTTGTTGCGGTGGCAGCGGCTGCTACGACTGGGGTGAAAGACCTTCCCACATCAACCAGCCCATAAGCCCCGGACAATCACCCGTAAACCTAAACAAAACCCTAATCCCTAACCTGTCTCATGCCTCCAACTGGCGAGAACAACCCTGCGCCTTCTGCCACTATTTGGTGCGGTGCCTGGTGTCCCCGTTGAAACGCTTTGCAGCCCTCTACGGGTATCAGGCGAGGGCCTTCAGTTTCGCTTTCAGATGCCGCTAGGCTTGCAGCGTCGGCAGAGGTGTAGCAGCAGCCGCTGTTGCTGGTGAAAACTCTTGATAAACGGCGCTCAGCTAAGCAGCCGCGCAGCAACGAACCGTACTGCTCATGCATTAGCCACCCGCGAGGGAGGTAGGCTCGAGCGGAGAGGCCCTCAGGCTGAGCTGGGCAGACGCCACACAACACAAGCACCCCACACAATATTACAGCACCGGCATGTCTTGAGTAAATAACAAACAGTGCTTCTACTCAGGAAAGAGACCCCATGCTGCCTGTCCTCAGCTATTGAGCCAAAAACAGCATCTGCAAACGTATAAGTAGATGCGCTGGTGGGGAATGCTTGCAAGAGCAGCGGCCGTTGCCATTCCAGCAGCAGCAGAAAAACGTTTCTATTCCCACTCGCGTCCTCCAGGCAAAAGGCCTCTAGGATTAGTCCTGAAGACAGAGCAGCACGGAAGCAGTAATGCAGCACCGCGGCACTGATGCAGCTGTTGCCTTACCTCCCCAGGTGCATGCGCTGAAGGGTGGCAGGATCAAATCAGCTGCGAAGGACCTGCTGGAGTGCAGCTCAGCAAAGGAAGCCACAGAAAGATCTGCGTTTCTTCCGACATTCATCCGTCTCCTTGGCCCTTTCTCGTCGTTAAAAATTGATTGCTGCCCTAAGAAAATCTCGTGAAAACAAGCAAACAAACACCGCAGCAGATTCGTCCGACAGAAGCCAGGGCGGCTCCACTCAGATCGGGCTCCCCTTCCCTTCAAAGGTAGCCACCGAAGGAGCTTTCTTAAGACAGACAGCCAGGGGCGTCCCCGAGCCAGCCAGCTGCTGCTGTTGCTGCTGGCGCTGCTGTTAGCTGGAAGCGAAAAAACAGAAGCGGCTGATCGGTTTGCCACAGCCAGCTGCGAAGGCGGCAGCACCCGCTGCAGAAGCTGCAGCAGATGTCCTCCTCCAGGAGCAAGCAGGTGGGGGCATCCTGCCCCAAATTCCAGCGCAATGCATGCACTGTCAGCACCAAATGAAACGCCCGCTGGTGCTACCCCAGGATCAGAGCTTCTGCTGCTGATGCTACTGCTGCTGCTGATGCTACCCTCACTCAGCGCCTTGGGCGCGACAGAGAGGTGGCGCGTTGAGAGCAGCCGTTGCTGCACTATCTGCTGCAGCAGAGACGGGAGTTGGTTAGGCTGTTTGCCGGGTTTAGGAGATGTTGCAGCAGCTCCAGGAGCTGCATCAGTGACTGTTTTTGCTTGGTGCTGCTGGTTCTGCTCCTGCAGCTGGGCTAGCAGCTTCACCAGCACACCTGCATGCGCTAATTCCGTCCGAGTATACGTACCCCCCAGCTCCTGCTGCGCTTCTATCAGCCGTATGTGCGCGTGCTGTAACGTCGGCTGCTGCTGCAGGAAGTAAGCCGCTGCCAAACCGCTGAGCCCCCCACCAACGATGCTGCGTGCACCACCCGCAGAAAGCCGTTTCAATCGCACAAATTCACAACGAAAAGTAGTAAAGATACTAAATTGTAGGTGGGACAGGCACAAACAAGTTGCCTCGCAGCGGCATCGCAGTGTCTAGATTTGATGCAGTCCCTCCCCCTGTAAACCAGCGTCTTCCTGCAAGCTGTACGTATACCACAAACTGTGCAAAAGTAGGCGGGGGTCCCAATGATTAAATCATGTCCTGCCTTTTGCCTCAACTTGCTGTATTTGCGGTGCTTATGCAAACAGTTGTTCTATGCATGCCTCCTGTATGCATTAGGCACTTTAATTGTTTTGCCTAGTCATTTGAGATTGTGCAATTGATGTTGTATTCGCCTACTTAATATGATCGTGTTCGCTTATGTGATAGTTCTTCACGTATGCTTATAGATTCGTGCTCACCATATTCGAGGGCGGCTGTCTTCTGCCGGCATTATTGGTGAATCCAACACATAAGAGACATCCTGAGCCTTCAGTAAAAACTGTGGTGAAAGAAATGGGAGGAAACGACTAAATGAGCTGGGATCCTTTGCGAGGCGGAGATGGACGGCCCTAGGGTTCACTAGAGGGTTTAGACACCGTAGCTGGAGACCGACGAGGCAGCTCAGCTGTATATTAGGGGGAAAAGATATCTCCAGTGGAGAAGACAGGGAGGGGCGGCATAACAAAGTCCATATTCTGGTTTCAATTTTGAGCCAACCTCGAGGTTCCTTTGCATTAGATGTCTCGCCGTTAGTATTGCTGCTGTTGCCCGTTGCTGCACTTGTTCCGCTATACACACCATTATATTCTAATTCAATTTACATGTTCCGAAAGCAACATGTAAGCTTGGAGGCTGAGCGGAGTGTAAAACCCAACGGAGGGACCTCAGCAGGGGTTAGAAATTCGTAGAATGGCATTGCAAGATGCGACACCTAGAAAAGCCTCTGTGTTGGAACTCATGCGCCAGGTCTGTGTGTCACTGATGGCGCATTTAAATGGCCAAATTAATTTATATTTCATGTTATGCAAGGAAGACCAGCGCCTCCCTGTACCGAGGCGCGGGGCCCTAGGGGCCCACGGGCCCGAGTCGCCAAAACAAGCAGAGGCCTCCGCAGAAAATGAGTAGGCTTCCAACAGAAACGCATCTTCTCCTTTTCAACACTTTACAAGATACGAATATAAGCATCCTAGGTAGTTAACCCTTGGTCATGATTACGGCAATTTTCCAGTGACCTGTGCAGCATTTCAGCCAACATCTTGTTGTCCCCGCTCAAGTTCATTGGCGTATTGCGAGGCATGTATCCTTCGTAAAGGGTCCTTCGCCTCTGAATTTGGTGACAGTGGGGTGGAGAAGGGGATAAATTAAGTCTAAGTAGTCGATGTGAATGGACGGCCTGGCCCGAAACACTAGCTGTATTTTCTGCCTTCCACAGTTGCACTGCTGGAGGTGTACGTACACATGAAGAAGGGTATCCAATCATATGCAGCGGACTACCCTGATGCAGGCAGAGCCTTGTCTATGCTGTTTACGCTTCACTGTTATTTACAAGGAGCCCCCGATGTTGTTGTGGCCAGTCGTTCTCTGTCTCTTATGTACTTGCCCTGTTTTTCGGCCATCCTCACCCACCCACAGATTAGTTGCCGTTGCTGGGAATGCAGGTCACTCACCATCTGAACGCTGGAGGTCCCCCTCAAAGTTTGTTTTTATTGACAAGATCGCTCGTACGGCTATGTTTGACTGGCATGGTGCTGTAACAGAAACAACCAAATAAGCACCTGCAGAACCCCCCGTCCTCGCCTCTGTCAAGGCGCATTCATACTTAGAGGACCAGGAAGAAGGTGAAGGTTTGAAATTGTAATTTTGAAACTGCTGGTACATATTCATTGAAATATAGAGGCAGAAGATAGCACTGCCAGCGAAAATGGGCCAGAAGGAAATGCAGGTGGGGCTAACAGAAACGAAATACGGAGTAAACTGTTCTGAACATAGCAGTGGAAGGCAGTGCTGCATTTAATGATGATCAACCTGCGAAAGATGAAAGCGGTGCCCCCCAAAAGCCCCCAGATGAGGGTGAGGACTCTGTGAACGTGGAAGGAGAGGAAATGGAGGGAAAAGACATGGGTGCGTCATATTAACCAATATGCATATTCATGCTTGCTCCTCAGCCATCCTAATGGACAGATGCAGAATGCAAGCAAGAAGAGAAGGCGCTTGACAAGGCGCAAGAAAAAATAAAGCAAGCACAGGAAGAACTCAATAAACTGCAAATCCGAGAGGAAGCTGCTGTGGCGGAAGATTTGGAAAAACGTGCAAATGCAATTGCTCAAACAGAGGCCGAAGAATCTGAGGATGAAAAACTCAGCGGAGAAGAGTAATTGAGTCAGGCGATATATGTGTGCGATGCTCATACGTGGCGTATAAACTGTGTATCTCCGGCAGTCCCTTGAGTTGAAACATGCCCTACACTCCTAAATAGCAAAACCTGTAAACCCTAAATGATACGTAACTATCATCACGACCACATACAGTCTAAGGCGTCTGTTCACACAACTGTTCTGCTGGCAACAGCCGCAGACAGAACTGTTCTGTGGACAGCAGCAGAAGATTCCAGCCGCTCGAGTTATTCGGAAACGATTAGTTATTACATGCTATATTTTGGAGAGTAAACATGTCATTAGGCTTGTTAAAGACTTACTTCCCATTCGTTCACCCGCTCGTCTCGCTACTGACCAGGTCAACGGATTTGATATTGCACTGCTGGCTGAAGAGTGTCCCAGTCCATGGATTATCTGAGCTTGTGAAATTAGAAATCACTTACAGAGACGCAAGAGCCCTTGCTGTTCATCCGGTGGCTTGCGTCTTACCCGTCGTCACCAGTGTGTCACCGCCGATTCGGCACTGGGACGGCGACGGCCACACGGCATTGCGAAGCCGTATGTCCCTTGCCCCTGCACTTATAACAGGTGTGGGGTTGACACCTCCAGATGATCGTCTAATGAAGTCCTCAGTGGGTTTCTCGCGCCAGCGTTGAGCCCCATTCTCCTACCCACACAATGTGCCCGCGTATATAGGCACAACCACGATCTATCTTCCGATGCCTGGTCTTTTAATTGTGCTGCGGCTGCTAGTTATTATGCATTCCGCTAGAGCGAAGAGGTCACTGGGTTGGAACGGAACAGCCCCTTAATGTAGTGCGCAGCTGTTCTAAGATGTGCCTACTTATCGTCTCATAGGGTGTGACTGCCTAGGTGTGTCCTCTTAACTACCCAATTTCCCCGAAGCCAATGCTTAACGTTCCAAAACATATTCGAGTCTCTATTGTAAACAAGGGAAGTTCCCCTGAATAATAGAACCGTTCTAAATTAGCCCCGGTCATGGCTGGCTGCCAGCGCCGAACCAATCGGATTACGGGGGGAGATATCAACGGGGACGAGACAGCCTGACCTATAACTGCTATCCACCAAAGTCGTATTAATAGACATAATACTAATTCTATTTTGCTCAGATCTATAGAGAGGCCTACCTGGTACCCAAGTAGTGACTAGGTTAGTGAGCTCCTTGAGTTCACTCCAAAGCCCCATTGTAGTGCGTGTGCACTACAGGCCTTGATGAACGCATGCAAGACACAGCACTGAAAAGGTCCATTTGTGCAATGTTTTATCCTTAATAATTAATTTAGCTTGGAAACAAATGATCCTTTTATATGAATTGAGACTTTAGAACAATACACACACCCGAAAGTACGGACAGGTCCATTGCATTCCCTGCCAGTTCCAGAAAGCCGAATCCTATGGGCATTATCGCGTCTTCTTGGGCACCTTTGTGCCTTGAAACGGCTGGACGCATCACTTGTTGATCCCCCCAAATTTATTTTGTTCATGCAGAAATGTTTGGCAAATTCCTCATTCATGTTAGTCTTCTTTTTCTTCGCTTTCCCGCACCCTTCATCACGGTCCATCCGTAAAATCGGGCGGAAGTCGTATAATTTCTTCCTGCACGTGTTTCTTTGGTTGTCTGTTGCCCTTCTATCACTTTGCGTCACCTCGAGTTGCTCATTTCGCACCCCAACTGCGGGCCACCCTGCAGGGGCTACAACATACACAACTTTCGTTCTTCCGCAATGGTTTCTTCACTTGCAGAGCAAATCTGAGGGCGACCTGCAGCGGCCGTGCAGCGCATTGTCTTACACAGACAAAATCCGAGAGACAACGGCTTCAGAAACCCGCATTCGCAATGCAGCTTGGAGACACTTGGCATCGTTTCCCAACGGGAGCAGCAGCAGCAAGCTGTTGAAAGTACGGAAAGCAGGGTCTACTAGGCGTGTTGTATTCGCAACACTAGGAAGTGTGTTTGGATCTTTACAGCTGCATGCATCGAGTCCCCATGCTCTCAGGCCCTTGCATGACGACGGCAGTAGCCAACAGCAGCAGCCGCTGTCTTGCCCTTGGAGCCTACCAGCTTCCCATATCTCTCCCGTTGTCACAGAGAATGCCTGGAGCACTAGACACTGCGGCTTGCAAAGTCAGCATCTGCAGACGGGGGGAGAATCAGCGGAAGAAACAGCCGGGGCGGCAACCGGCGAGACAGAAGTTGAATATGCCGGCATTACCACGCGTCTGCGGCGAACTCTCTGGACCTGTGTACAGTCGATGAGGCAAAAGAAATTCAGAAATATTCTCGCGGATCTTGCATGCTGCAGAGGAGAGCCCACCAACTCGCCGTCGGGGCAGGTTATCGGGGATCCTGCTACTGGAGCTGCCGAACGAGCCTCTCCCACTTCACTACAGGAAGTGGCCGTCCATACACCAGAAATTGTAGGAAGTGAAACCCCGCAAAAGCCATTGGGACACATTAAAGACTCCAGTCTCTCCAGAACAGCAGAGGCTGCAGCTGTGAATGGGGTGTGGAGGGTTGGCGACGAAGAGAATGGCCTGAGTCCTCGTACTTACCATGGGACGCAGGATTCACCACAACAAGTAAGACATAACGAATTACCTAAACCTCCCGATGAGGAAAAACTGAGGTATCCTCCACATAAACAGCAACAGACAACGGCCCTTAACAATGCCGACGATTCTGCAGGGGAGGCGCTAACCGGCGGTGCCACTGGCAGTGCTGACGCTACGGCTGCTCCTCCATCTCCAGCAGTAGCAGCAGCAGCAACAGCAGTAGATGCAACATCAGCAGACCAAGCACAGCGCCAGTGCCTGAATGCATCGGGGAGTGGTGTGTCTGAGCCTGGTGCCGATGCGGAGGGCGGTCCTTTGAGGCCCCTCAGAGAGGCAGACCCTGAAGAACGGGGAAATGGAACAACAGAGAGCCCAACAAGAGGGTCCTTGCCCAAACAAGCTGCAGCAGAAACACTGGGCCGCCCACCAGCCTTCGGCAACAGCAGTGAGGAGGCGCGCATGAACGAGCAGCAGCAGTACATGTCGGTTTGTGGCAGGGGGCCGCCCGCTGCAACAAAGGAAGGATGGTTGGCTGGGCCTCCAGCGGGAGGCCGAGAGTTGGTGGCTTTGGAAATGTCGGGTAAGGCAGTGCCCCTTATTGCTTATGTTATTTTTGTTGCATTAGGCTCATCTGCTTCACAGGGCAAAGATAGCCTTTGGTGTCAGCGTCTAAGAGTCTAGAGTGCATGCGATTTGTTTCGTTTAGAGCCCAAAACAGTTAGATGATTGAGATCATTATTCTCATTGGGATCGGCGGATAGAAAAAGTTGCGTGTTGCAGCACTTCAGGACGGTGTGGCACAACTGCCATCCAGTTCACCTTGTTTGTCGGTTTTGCATGCGTCGCAGTGCTGCAGCAGCTGCTGCTTGCCTTGAAGGGGCCTCTGCAGCAGCAGACAGTATCCAGCAATGCCTTGGTCGCCTTTCTCGTAGCACAGAAGGCGCGGAGGGCCGCGCAGCCAACAGCCTGCATCCCGTTACCAGCAAGCACTTCTGGTGATCCTGCCTCTAACGTTGCCGCAGCAACCACCACCAACAGCAGGTACAGCAGTGGGGACTTTGCAGTAGAGCATCTGTTAAATGGGGGCCTACTCCCCTCCCTGAGCCGCATCCTCAGCAACCCAACCCCAAGGCCTTTCTGGCCCCGTTGGCTGCAGCGGGGCGTCCCCTCGTCAGCGACGCAGGACAAGCAGGCGGCTCTGCAACAGCTGCAGCAGTTGCAGCTCAACGCGCTGCAGTTGCTCCAGCAATTGGCCACCTGGGGCCCCAACGTGGAGCAGCAGATCGCGCACCACGTTGGCTTACTGACATCTATTAGGAGGATCGCCGCAGGAGAGCAGTGGCCGTCAGGGCCAGCTGAAGCAGCAACAACAGAGGGTAAGATAGCAAGGGCAACGGGACAGAGAGGTGGTTCGGGTTCCGATGGATCCCTCCCCGCGTCGTATGAAGCCGCGCATGTAGGCAGGCAAACGGTGCTGCCTTCTGAAAGGGACAAGCATTATGGCGAGGAGCTGCAAGAAAAGAATCAGACTAAGGAGGGCCCTGAAGAGGGTGGTCTCCCGCAACAGCCAGGGCCGCCTATTGCATCCAGCAGCCCGCAACAATCAGGGATTCCTGTTGCACCACCGTGCAGGCCTCGTGATGAAGGCAGTGAAGAACGCTGTGGCGATTCGAAGACTTCTTCCTCCGCAGGCCAGCACATACACACACCAACAGACAAGGACGCAGCCAATCGGACTGGGACAGTCTCACCCGCAGCAGCAACAACAGCTGCGATAGATGGAACAGCTGATGCGGCAGCATACTCGGAAACAAAAGCGAAAACAACAGCAGAAGCATCAGCACGCGCGACGGAGGCCACTTTAGCAGCAAAGTCTAGTCCCTTAGCGCCGTCTGATGGTGATGCTGAAAGGCCTGGAGCAACAGGTGCAGCAGCAACAGGGGCAGGATCGGCGACAACAGAATGCCGAGCTGATGAAAAAGCGACGGGGGATTTGCTACTGCTTCGAGCTAAAGCGGAAGGAGTGGCGCGTTCTCTCATGGAGCGGCTCGAGGCCAGGCGAGCTGAGCGCAGTATAGGCGCCCCCCTTATGCTGCAGGAGGCCCCAGGGGGCTCCCATAATGTAGGTTCTTCTTTAAGTATGCTGAAGGCCCGTGTCTCATTCCTTTTCTCGTTCGGAAAACAGCGAGAAGCAGAAGGCGCTGCCCAAACCCGAACGTCTGTGAACACGTCCGTGGCCACAGCTCTTCCCAACCCCCACAGAATGCAGCGGCAGCAACAGCAGTGGCAGCGGCAGCCGCCCTGCTCAGTAGCAGTCGTCTCCGCTGTGGCTACTACTGCTAGTCCTTTAGGTGACGAGGAAGGATCCTCTGGAACTCCTATAGAGGATGCCGCGAGAGATAAAGGCCGGGGAGGCGGGTTGCTTGGCGCAGCTGAATTGGAAGGGGAACGAGGCAAAGGTCGAGGTGGTTTGCTTGGCGTAGGGAGACTATTTGCTGCGTGGGCGGCATCTATGTACACCGCAGCGCGGCGGAAGATAGGAGACGTTGGCGGGCGCAGCAGCGTGTTGCAGCCAGAGGAGCAATTAAAGCACAAAGTACTGTGGATGCCTCTCTGGCTCGACGGAGTCGGAAGTGGGGGCCTCTGGGCAACCATTGCTGCTGCTGCAGGGGAGGCGGTGGCCGCGGCTATGAAAGAAAAGGTTGCACGGCATCTTCGGCAGCAGCAACAGCAGCGGCAACAGCAGCAAGAGCAAGAGCAGCTACGGGAAAACCAGCAGGGAACCTTGCATGCACAGGCTCCTGCCAAGCAGGGCCGGCCTCTACCAGAGAGTGAAACTGAAGGTGAGTTGCTGCGGATGCTAGAGAATTTGCGGCTGGGAACGCAGGAAAGCGGGGCAGTCCCCCAGTCGGGGACTTGGGGGGTTTTGGGTATCGCCATTATTGAGGAGGAAAGGACCAGCAATAGCAGGCATGCATATGGAAGGGGCCACTATCGTCATCATGCTCAAGGAGACATGGTGGTGCACGACACGGACGACGGGAACAGAAGGAGCAGAAGCAGCAGCCGCATCGAACACCCATTGGCAGGTTCTGTGATCTGCGAAGGGAAGGTTATTCGATTCGAACCCCTCGCTCTGCTTACTGGGCCCCCCATTTGCAATGCCGGAGTGCGGCAGCACGGCACTAGACTGCTGCTCACTGCCGCAGCAGGTGGGCAATACAGCAGCCAGCTGGGGGCTCTCAAGGCTTTGACACTCCTTGTACGCCAAGAAACCCCAGAGGTGCTGCAGACGGTGGCTCAAGAACTGAGCACTAGTTGCACCAGCAGATTCGGCGGGTTTGGAATGAGGCGTGGCGAACGGAGTCTGGACGAGGGTCTGGCGGCTGCAGTGAGGGCTCCTTACAAGAGCAGCGGTAGCGGCGGCGCATGCAGTGGTCCGGTCTCTTTGTGGCGTGTTGGGGTTCGAGAAGGCAGCGACGAACGGAAGCGGCTGGAGCTCGAGGAGGTGCAGTTGGCTGTTTTGCGTTTCCTCTATGAGTTGTTTACGAGACAAGAAAGACTTATGGTACCGCTGCTTCAGCGGTGTGTGTTGGTTAGGGATGCGTTGCAGCAGGTGGTTTCCTGCTGCTCTTCTCAACTCTCCCGTGCGGCTCCCCCAGTACCAGGTGGTGCGCAAGCTGGTTTAGGGGGACCCGCTGCTGATTTCAAAGAGGGGGAGGGGTCACTATTGGGGTCACCTTCCTCCTCATGCGAGCTGCATTGCGGCGCGTTGAGACCACTGCCCCCTGCGGATCGTCAGAAGAAAGTTTCTCTAAGTCTCGCAGGGCCCCTGCGGCTTGCGACTGTGGTGTCTGCTGGAGTGTGGGGCCCTGGGCAATGGAGGCCACGGAGACCAGGGCAGCGGGGGCTGCGCATATTGGCTTTGGATGGGGGGGGGACGAGGGGGGTGTTGACGGTGGCGCTGCTAAAGGAGATAGCGGCAGCTGTTGGGGGCGATCTGAGCTCGGCGTTTGATATTATTTGCGGCACATCAACGGGCGGAGTGCTCGCGGTTCTACTGGGCCTCGAACGTGCTACAGCTAGCGAGTTGGAGGCGCTTTATGATGCACTGATTAAGGAGATCTTTGTTAAGGATGCACCAGCAGTCGCTGGCGCCCGCCTCGTGATGCGTCAGGCGTACTATGATGAGACTTTGTGGGAATCAATCCTCTTGAGGGCCTTCGGACAGGCCAGGATGATCGACTTTGCTGCAGACACTACGACCCCTAAAGTCTTCTGCCTCTCTACCAACGTCTCCACTAATCCTGCAAGGCTCGTCATCTGGAGGAACTACAACTACCCCACAGCAGCACCAGCAGCAGCATCACCAAGGGAACCCTCTCAGGTGGAGCAAGGAACGAACACCGCAGGGCTTGGGAGTCCCTTCTGGCATTCGCTACAACACCAGCTGCTGCGGCTGCTTCAGCCCGTTCCTGCAGCAGCTATGGGGGGCCATAACCAGGAGGCTTCCGCCCCAGCAGCTTGGGGGGCTGGTCGATATGAGGGCTCTTGTTGCGTTTTCGTGCGTGATGCGTTGAGGGCAACGACAGCAGCGCCCGGTTTCTTTAGCGGCAAGATTGTGGGGGGCGAGACGGTAATCGACGGCGCCCTGCTGGCGAATAACCCCTCAGCAGTGGCAGTTTCAGAGGCGCGTGCGCTTTATCCGCAGGTCCCGATTGAGGTTTTTGTCAGCGTAGGCACGGGGCAGTGCGCTGCTGAAAGATGCACCGAGAAAATGGGGTGGGACGGGGTGTTCAGCCAGCTGGTAGGGGCTGCCACTAACACGGAGGCGGTTCATGGGCTGCTTCAGGATCTGCTGCCACCTACTGTGTACTTCCGGTTCAACCCCGTGATAGGAAACCTACCGATTGATGAGACAGACGCAAGTAAACTCGAGGGCCTCAAGCGAATAGCGCAGCTGTACGCCAACCAACCTGAAAACAAAGCGGCTATTCAAAGACTGGCTCGCATCCTGCGGCCCCCTTTGCCTCTCCACAAGCGTTGCCAGGGACTCCTACACACCGTACGCAAGCATGCAAAGGGAGCAGCTGCATTCATCACCAGCAGCGCAGCATCCTTCATGCACAGAGCTCTCAACCACCCAGCGCTGACAGGTCCCTTCACCGTGGGAGAATCTGCGCTGTTCCGCATCATTAAGTGCTGTAGAGCGGAAACGCCTGCAACTAACAGCAACACACGTCACAACAACGAAGTAGACAGCAGTCATGCCTCCACTCAGCCGAGCGCTGCTGCCGCAGAGGAGAGCAGCAGCAGCAAAACCGACGGTGCTGACGGCTGCAGTGGCGGCGCGCCTCAGCCAGGGGCAGGAACACGGATGGGAACACCAGCAACAGCCGGCGTAGCAAAAGGGGAGGCCATCGCGTTCCCTCGGCCCGCTGCTGCAGGCACAGTGCCAGCTGCAGGGCGTGCTGCAGAGGGATCCGCCGCTACAGGCTGCATCGCAGAGGGCTCAGCGGCAGCGGAGAAGGAATGCCCGCATACTGCAACCTCCGCTGCTGCTGCAGCAGCAGGTGCAACCAGTGAGGGACTGCTCAAGTGGGAAAGCGGATGGGGGGGAGCTGGGAGCCGGCGTTCTTTTTTTGCGTGGCTTGCGAATATTCCAAAGACCGGTAGCAGCAGGACGCAGCAGCAGAATAAAGTGTTTGATGCACTTGAACTTCTGGGGAAGCGACAGGTCTCAGCAGTCCCAGAAGTGGATGCAGAAACTCTTGTGCCGCTGACAGGAGTGCGGCATGTGCTGCAAGGCATCTTTCAACGCATACAGGCAAACCTGTAGACGAGTTCGTTTACAATAGCAACAGTAACAAAACTAATCAGCTAATGGCAACAGTTACTGCTGTTGCCAGTAGCTGGTTACCTTCGTCACTGTTGCTATTTATGATTAGTGTCATTTCTGTTGGACTTTTAGGTGTCTGGAGGTACGTCTAGTGGCGGGGAACGTTGCTTACCGGCGCGCTAGACGATGTGCAGAAGGTGGTGAGGGGCACATCATTGCCTTGTGCTGAAACAGATCAAAACGTAGCTGCATGAGGAACAGCAGTGGACCCAATGAATCGCGCTACTATGAACAGTGCGCAAACTGAACCGGTCGAAGCTGCACCAGCTGTCGGTCAAAAGGCAGCATTGATGATATTGCGGCTCGATATTCACCTGCATAAGGCTCTCTGTGGGCCGTGGAGCAGCAGCAGTAACCACGCAAAGCGTAATGACTCTATGGTGGGGGATAGAGGACAGAAGTCGGGTGTTCTTTAGGGTTAGGTAGGACATGGGATTTAGTTGACAGGGATAAGAATTAGGATTTTATTGTTTTGGATTGACGGCCGTAAGGGCTTACGGTTAAGAGTGTACATGGTAGCGTGTACAGTGCAATTTTAGGGTCTAGTGTCCACAGCATTGATCTTAGCGCCCATGGTGTATGGCAATTCCTTGTTTAACGGAAAATTGTTGACACGAAAACCCTTAGCGCCTCCTGTAATATAAAGCGGACAGCACTGGGCAATGAGCACAACACGCGTTGGTGAAAAATGCCAACTGATTGTTTCATTTGAAGGAAAAACGATTTATGTGGTCAAGAGTTTCGTCTTTCCGACACTATGAATGCAAGCTTGTTGATAGTGGCGCGCTTAACATTCGTTTGAATAGATGGGTTAATGGCACAATTCTTCAGGTCTTCGACGGCTTTACTATGATATGTAGAGCCAGGACTTAGGAGTCGAATGGCTGTTTCCAACGGCAGAAATTTTCCCGCCAAGCTGGAATACGACGAGAAGGAAACATTGTAATACGCAGGCTGAATCTTAGTGTGATGTAGAAGAAACCTACTTTCACTGCCAATGACTGGCTGCGCAAAAGTCGTCTGCAGTGGGTGTAGAGCAACAGTTGCTGTCCGGCATCGAGAAATGAACACGCAACGTAGCTATGAACGTTTGGCTGCCACAGTCCAGTTGTCCCTGTGGAAACTTGTCTGACACCTTGAGCTGAAAGTAGATTAAACCTAGGGGATAAATAGCTCGTATGCTTACTGAGGATCAGAATCAAGCAAACTTTCCCCACAGGACAACATGAGATCTGCGTGCTCACTTAGCGTGCCTTAGGGACGCCTGCGCTATTGTTTCACAATGTCCCGCCCTGGATAAACTCTCCACCTGACTGTCGCTTCTGCCTCTTCCGCATTGATAAGCACATAGATGGTTCCTTAAAAACATATGCAGGCCATGCATCGCAACTTGGCGGAGCAAAATGACACTGAGATTAGTGGTATTTCACTTTCACGGGAGCTCCAACCAATGCTACACCACCGAAATATTCCCACAAAGTCGAACTAGAGTCCAGGACAATAGGGTTCGCTTCCCTTCCATGTGCCGCCAAGCCCATTCCCTTGATAATGGCTTTCACAGATAGTAGATATGGACAGTGGGAACCTCAACGCGACCACGCATGCCACAAATTAGATGACGCAGCATTTGGCTGCATTAATTTAAAGGCACATGTAAGTGGCTGTTTCTTTGGCATGGCAAGTCGTAGAAGTTGTTACTCCGTCCCACCACTTTCCCAACGCCTTCTTCAGGAAGTAGCTCAAAACCCAGCTTTCAAATATTCAACGTCATAGCACTAGCCAACGAGAATCTGCGCTTAACTGAATTTCATTACATTGACAGAGTACGTGGCAAAGCTCATACTGCATCAACAATGTTCGCTGCAATCATCATACTCTGTTTAGAATAAACAGTTCAATTCCACTTGGCCACTCCAGCTCTGCGTTAGCTGTCCACGGCGTATGCAGACCAACGGTCATATCGCGCACAGACGCGCAACGATGCACCAACGGGCCCGGCCAGATCCAACAGACGATTCACACTAGCTAGCGCTTCACTTTGCTTTCAATGAAAATTGGAGTCTGCAAAAGCCTAGGACGTTCGCTTCCCTTCATGTACAGTCTGCTTTTCCGCAGCGGGGGCGGCTGTCAAGGGAAGGAAAACAGAGTCATTCTTCTGGAGTGTTTTAAATAATAATAAGAAAAACCATTGTACGTACAATGCGTGATAAAAGGGAACCTACAGGCCAGAGGCAAGCAAACTGCTTCAACTTGAGCAAGGAGTGGGACAAAACGCATCTAGCAGTTAGCGTCACATAGACGTTTCAGATCCGTATGCACCCCAGTATGAATGCATACGGATCTGAAACGTCTATTTCATCCCTAAGTAGTCAGCAGCAATGAGTAGGTCGACAGCCATTTCCGTCTCAATTTCAAACTCCAGAGGGGCCCCCCCGTCCTCCCTCCACTGGTGCCGGCGCCGGAGATATTCGATGGCCTTGCAGAGGACGTTGTGGCGAATGTTCTGCAGTTGGAAAACCCGAGTTTTGCTCTCCGCGAAGCTGCCAGAAAGAAGACGTTTCAGCAGCTCACACTCCTCTGCAATGTGAACAGGCACCTCCAGAGCTTTCCCTTCGCTGCTTATCAGGCGCACTGTCTCTTCTCCAGCTACAGACTTAGCAACAACCATACCCTTCACATCCAGTGAGACAGAGGAGTCCCGACCCCCACAAGGCTCCCCTGAGGCACTGGGCATGCTGTTGCAAGGGGCTGCAGCTGCCGCTGCCCCTTGATCACATTCCGCTGGTTCTTTAGGCTCCTCAGCGCTTTCTGACGGTGGCATTTTTGCTGCAAAAGAAGCACTTACAAAGGTGGAGGACTAAACGGCAGTAACAGCAGCTGGTGCAGCACGTGCTGCACCAGCAGCAAAGGACTCGCAGCAATCTATTTTCTCTTGACTTGCGGCGTGCTTCAACCCCTCTTTGCAGCTCCTTCCCTGAAAACGGCAAAGGAATTCCTGCGTACTAATGTATTCGCCGGAAACAGCTCTGTGAAAAGTCAAAGAAGAACAGCACATGCGAATCAGAAGTCACAACCCAGTGAGGGTTTATTCAGTGCCAATCCTTGGGTCTGGCTGGCATAGTGTCTGAAGGAGTCCGCCCGAGTCCTATTTGTATATTTAAATGCAATCCGTTTGTTTCCTGGAGATAAAAGTGCAGAATTTCAACGTGCAACTGCGGCCACGAAGCCAGGTTGTCGTTGAGACTCTCGCAGTGACCGACGCGCGCCGTCCGGGGGAGAAGAGTGTAGAGACCGCAAATTCGAGTTTGGAAAAAGTCCAAGCAAAGTATGCTCCCTGCATTATGCTTTTGAAGAATAGTTAGCAGTTGTTTCACTGCACTTCGAGGATGCAGCATGTCTTGTATGCATGCAAGGAATTGGGACGCGTGGGACTGGCAGGCGCAACAACCCGACCTTCGTTCCATACTGGTACCACACTCTGAGTTTTATGCACAAGGAAAACTGATCTCCAGTGGTAAATTCGTTTTACACTGTGAACGAATGTCGGCGGAGTGAGCCTTATCGTGCTCTGGACACCCAGTATGGAGTGGTTGTGAAGTATGCAACATTACGGTAGACGGGATGCATGATGAACGCATTTCGCGTGCGTCATCTTGAACAGGCTCTGCAGCTGTACTACTCGCCTCAGTCCACTGGCCACCTTCCTCTTGATTTGTTCCTGCGGCACTATTACAACTGCAACAAAAGCGTTGGCAGCAACGACAAGAAGTTTATCACCGAACACATATATCAAATTGTAAAATGGAAGGGCCTCCTAGACCACATCACCCCCCCACCGGCCAACTGGCCTAGCAGGATCCGCACCTATTTCGTGTCCGATAGGTGAGCATTCATGAACCCCTAAAGTATCTGCCGTCGTGCGGCTGTGTGTTGTGTCTCGGTTATGCATCAACTGCAGCAGCTGTAAATGTATAATTATACGCACAATAGGAGCATATCTATGTAGGCATGACATTTATATAGTAACAAAATGTGCAACAGGTGAGGCTAGAGCAGCAGTTTCTGCGGCTGAGGTGTTGGCACACGCTGCAAATCGTATATTTGCATGTGTCGTGTTGGGAGTTTGCAGGTGAAGTAATGATCATTGAAACGAAGGGAATGAGCTTTCAGCTTGCGTTGTTCGTTACTTGCAGGTGGAAGTTGCAGGCTCAGAACGAACGCCTGCCTGCATCCGTGCGCACGTCTTTTCCTGCTGAACTGTTTCGTCGTATTGAGGCTTCTCACGGAACAGATAAGGCGATTCATATTTGCAACATTTTGAACGAGGAGGCACCGGTGTATCTCCGCACCAACACCCTGACCATTACTCGCGACCGGCTGTACCACTACTTGCTGAACAAAGGCAAGCATATGCCAACGTTTTTCAATCCCTTTTGAGATTTCCTTGTTGCATAGGTAGAACTGAACTGTTCTGTTTGTTGTTGGGTTGGGTTGCTACTTTTGCTGCTGCTGCTGCTGGCCTTCTGCCGTTTTTCACAGGTGTTGCTGTTGAAAAGAGCCCTAACTCCCCGTTAGCTCTGGTCCTCCCACACCGCCAGCGACTCGGCGACTTGCCAGAATTTCACCGCGGGTATTTCGAAATTCAAGATGAGGCCAGCCAACTGGTTGCTCTCAAAGTGGCGGTCCGTTTTTGAAACAAAGAGACTCTGTACCACGAGAGAAAGTACAGTTGATGATCCGTATCTGCATATGTGTAGAAATTCGCTGAAAACTGATAGAGTGCTTGCAGTTCGAAGTAGAAGTTATCGAGTTGACTCAAGCCGTGAAGGCGTTGGCGCCTCCGCCTTTTACGTTCGCCCTGAGAACCTTAGCTGCCCGGTTTTTCGGAGATACTGGCAAAATTAGTGTATTGCTAATACATGATATACATTCCGTGACACTGACGCCAACAGGCGTACACTTTTGGAAAGGGACTACCAGCGACCTTGTATGGAAACATCAACGAGCTGGGTGCGTCACGCACTGCATTTGCCTTCAGGTGAAACCTGGAGAAAAGGTATTCGATTACTGCGCGGGTAGTGGTGGGAAGACGCTGGCGTTTGGCCCTCAAATGCAGAATAAGGGAAAGATATATTTGCACGATGTTCGGGAAAAGATGCTGCAGGAGGCGAAGAAACGACTCAAAAGAGCAGGGATTACAAATTACACCATCGTGCCACCAGCAAGTCCGCCTCTGTCTAAACTTGCAGGACGAATTGATTGGGTGCGACCCTGACAAAGAGCTGAACATACCTGCGGAAATTAGGCGACAGTTGCTCATCCTTATCCCCAATGCTGTATTATTATAGCACTCCGCAAACAAACTAAAACCCATTGAGTTGAAGCAGACTGGCACTCCGTCAGCGGTTGCTTAACTCCTGCAGCTGTTGGAGTTTGCAGGTGTTTTCGTTCAGGTCGTGTGCGACGTGCCCTGTAGCGGGACTGGAGCGTTGCGGCGGAGTCCTGAGATGAAGTGGAAATACAAAGACGAGAAGGTGAGAATGTAGGCAGTGCACTGTGCACGCGCACCTTTCTTGTATTGTTAAAAGTACAGGTGTTTCGCAGGACCAGCTCGCGTGCGTTCATGCAGCTCATGGATTTCATTGCTCTCCAACGCCATATCTTCAGCAGCGCCCTGCAGTATGTTAAGCCGAAAACCGGCAAGATCGTGTACATCACTTGCAGCATCTTAGATGAGGAGAACGTTCACCAGGTGTGCCACTCTTCTGATTTGGGCTGTCGTGCAGATCTTGGGGCTTCCCATTAGGTCTTAAACCTAACGGCAGCAGCAGCAGCAGCTAAGTGTATCTGTAACATCTTCTCTGCTGTAACTGCAGGCTAAGTTCTTTTGCCAGCAGCATGGACTCGTGCTTACAGAGCCTCCGTTCCATTCGCTGCCTACTTCGCGGGGTATGGATGGATTTTTTTGTGCAACTTTTTCCTACCCATGATTGTGTAAAGTGCTCTTGAAAATGCAATAGAAAGTGCCTCCCCCTTTGGAGGTTGGAGGCCTCAAGGACAGTTGGCTGAGCTGCAGTGGACATCTTCCTCGAACCTTTTCTCCCCTGCGACTTTGCCACTAGCAGTGGTGACCAAGGAATAGAATGCCGCCTAACTCAGCGTCGTCACCAGATAGTTTCTGGTACATCTTCGTCTCGGCTGCAGCACCAAATGACAGGTGAATGTACACCCTATCGGAAACTGGTGTGGCACCTGTGGCGGATGTTGCTTGCCAATGGAACTTTTGGGTCGTCCCGCCTTTTTATTAATTTTCTCGTAACTATATCACTTGGAGCGCACTCACGAAAATGGTGAAACCGGCAAAGCAGAGTTCGGAAGAAAAGCTGTGTGCGTTCCACAAATTGATTCTGGATTCCGATTCGTTCTTTGGTTCGAAGGAAATCGAGAAACTCGCAGAAAAAGCGGGCTACAGAAGCATGCAGTCCAAGGGTTAGCTTTTTCCTTTTCCTCTTTTGTGCTGAATTAAATTAAATTGCACCAAAGATGCGGTCAAGATGCTGCTCAATGAAAATCTGGTGCAGACCGACAAAGTCGCCGCCTCCTCTGTCTTTTGGTACTGCTACTGTCTGACCCTTAAGTGTTTGTCTAAAAAATATTATGAATTACAACAGGGCCCTCAAGAGCCAGAAGTACGCACAACAAGACGCGGAACTAGCAGCTCTGCGGTCAGCCCACTTAACCCATCTTCATCCCTGCCTTTCAGCACGAATGAAATTTCAGGGCTCAGAAGGTGAAGCTGTTGGCAGCGCGGGCCTCATTGAAGGCCATTGCGATTCCTGAAGTCTCCGTAGGGCAACCTAACACCAAGTTGCTGTGGTGTAGTGCATCGAAAACGGCCTTTTACAAACAGGAACAGGAGGCAGAGAAGCGCGCGGAGACGGTAAACACTCTGGAACTGCGCCTCCGCTTGCTTCAGGAAGAAGTCCGCGCTGTTTCCACCTGCGACCCTGAGCGGCTGCAGCAGTTGCGAGAAGAAATTAGCTTTGCTAGAGCCGCTCTTGAAAGATGGACGGACAACATATTTATAATTCGTGAGGGTCTTGCTGCTCGTGATATCGGCTGCTTCCTCTGTTTTGCACCTTCTCCCTATCGTGTCGGTCAGGCCAGTTCACACGCAGCAGAATGGCAGTTCCTGAAGACCAAATCGACCGACTGCTTGAATTGTACGCTGCAGCTGTACATAGCTAGCTAGCCCCAACCTTGCATATTGCCGGATGCGCAACCCTTCCGCGTCACTTTCAGGCCCAAGGGGTGGGATGAGACCGGCGTCCTGGAAGAGGATATCTGACGGACAAACGCGACCGTCCATTCACCTTCAAGCCGTTGAGCTGTCGGGTGCAGATGAACGTACTTACCGTGCATACAACGCCATTACACACATATGCATGGGCATGGCTCTGGGCATGCACTATATATTATAT